TATAAACCAACCCCAACCTAGTTTGGGAATAAGGCTCGGAGGAAGCTAAAGGTACGGGCGGTAGTCTACTGACAAATCACTATAGTTTCTTTGGTAACAAGGGATATTCTATTGGAAACTGACGATGATTAAAAAAAAACGAATTGTGATAGCGATAATAACAGATAATAATCGTAATAAAAGTTTTTTATTATATTATAAAGAAGGAGAAACCTACACAGTAGATATTTTAATACTTTTGGCATTGTAGACTAAGGACCACATTTCAATTTGATTTTAAAAAGTTTTACATCCGAGAAATAGTAACCGTAATAATAGATTTTATTGATCTCCAAGACCACACAACGGCATTCGAGCCCCGCAGATATAGATCAGTACAAATCACAACAAATACTACATCATATCAGAGCTAATAGCGAAACCAATAATTAAATATTAATTAATAACCAAAGGGTAGTGATTAGAATCAATGTGAACGTTCTCACGTTAAACTCATAATTGTTGTGATTAATCTATATTTTGACAGGTACTCTGTGCTGTGAGACATGCTGGTTAAGGGACGTTCACAGAATTGATGAGATCGCTTTTAAATTAAATATATCATTTAAATTTCAACGAGCAATATTTGTGATAAGGAATAAGCTACTCTCATTTAACAATACTACTGATTGCATAACCAACCGTACTCCTGCCACTGCCCTTCAACCAACTCCGACCCTGGGCTCTGGGCTAGATCGTACTCGGGAAGCACACAACCTGAGGTGGAAAAACTCATCCGGCTGCAGAAAGTCCAAACTGGTGCTTACTGAAATCTCACCACGACCTTCTTACAGATTAATCAGTTTTAGCAGACTAGACATCCGAATAGTTGTAGGAACTACTATAAGAGGACATCTAGCCCTGAACCGACAACTCTTTACCATTAATGTGATGGACAGTCCTATGTGAAGAAACGGCTGCTGACGCAATCCTGGAATGCGAGAGAGTTCTCACTCAACGGGCTAGTATCATTCCCAATACAAAATCGCTCCTACGATTAAAAGCCTGTAAGCGCTCCAGGAGGCTTCTGCGCTTCTCAAAGAAGCTTGGTTCACCTAGCCAACCTTCCATAAAGGACCATTCTTGAGTTTTAATGCGGCAACCTGAACCCACAACCCATATCCATACTAATGTGATTATTATCATTCCCGGAATTTGTAAGAATAAAAATACTAAAAGCTGAAAAAATTTTAAAACTGCCTTTCTGGGATTTCAATCGTTACTATTATAGACAGTCGTTAAATAAAATACTTGTGAAACTAAATTGTAAGCAAATATATTTCTTTCGTATTATTATACTTGCATTTTATATTCAGTAGGCAAAACACACCTTCACATCACATCAACAGCCTTTAATAGTCCACTGCTGGACATAGGCCTCTCCTTAAAAAACACACCTTTATAAAGTGAATACAGATTTCGAACATATCATTGAACAAAACATATAGATCTATTAACAATACTCTATATTCCTGGGCGGTACAATCGAAATAAATCAAAGTTTATGCGTAGGTGGCCGGCGCAAGCGCAACCCGCAATTACCAATTAACCTCGCGTTACATTCATGTTCAAATTTCATTCGCTCTCATAACACCCGAACAAGACAAGTCTAATTTTTTGCATGAACTTTTTAATATTTTATATCTGAGATTTAGTACGGTCTTGTTAATATACATTTAGGGAATCGAAAATATTTCTGTTAAAGTAGTGATTTGAAGCAAAATTTTACAGAATATAACACCAAACCTGTTGCTTTTTCACCGAGTGAATGAGAGTACCAGAGCCCAAGACACCTCCTCCCCTTCCCCCGCTTACTTGTGGGAGGTGACTCTAATGATAATGAAGGCAACGCACTTGTGATTCTTGGTGATGTTCAGGTGATCACACTGGTGATGTTCATGGGCAACGGATTTTTATTTTACTTTCCCATGGTGCTGAAACAGCTGCATCATAATGTTTTAAAGTCAGATAAATAAAACAAAATAGCTAAATTTGAACAATGCTTTTTATTAAAATTATTAATTTTTAAAAATAAAATCTCAGACCTAAGAGTAATCTTATTTAGGCTCGATTTTCACATAACCTAACATTCTATAGTATTTATACGGATACACACTATATAGATTTAATATGCCTACGTACATAAAGCCACATTTACACTAGACAGAACTCTTCTTTTCTAACTGTTGGTAGCCCAACAACCGCGTACTTCACCAGGTCATTGGACCACCTTATGGCGGTCCTTAAATGGCCTTACATTGTGACACTAAAAATACTGAATAAATAAAATAAATACTTGTTGACAGGTCACTTTAGCTCTTAATAAAGGATCCCTGTTAGTACCGAAGGTATCATCCGGCTTTAGTTCTAGAAATATAACTGCTTTACTTCTACTTTACTTTAAATAAAGACAACTCCCGCATTAGGAATATATATATTCCTGTGTCGCGGGGGACTTTACAAACATACATGAAACGGACACAAAGAACACCCAAACTCAGAACAACAATCTGTGGATCACACAAAGTGTCGTCCCATGTGGGGTTTGAACCCACAACACTCGGCGTAGTAGGAAGCGGCGTGGCGACCGCTTAAACCACTCCGCCATCCGTGCAGTCAAACTGCGGAACTCTATCTAGTGTAAACGTATACTAAACAGTCATTAATACAAACACATTATTATATAAATATTCTTATGATTGCACTATCCACATTAATGAGCATCTTAATTTGGGCTATAGTTATAACATAGTAGGTATTTTTTTTTCAAAGACAGGCCCATCGAAAACTAGTAATTTCAATAAAGTAGGCTAAAAATACTGATCATACATTCATTTTTTATGTTCTACAATAAATTTTAAAGGTAGAATATCTCGGGTGACGTTATCAAAACTATCCCAAGTTTGTGGGATATGTATTTATAAATTTCATATAGAATTAGCACCATTACTAAAGAGTTTGAGTAACCGAGACTACAAAATAACTTTTTTTCAAAGTATATTGGATTATCTGTTTATAGGTATTGATTGTTTCTTTCTATAATTCGTTTAATAATCATGATCATACTAGTTAAGAATCTGTTATGAAATGTATTATTTGTTCCTTGATTTCAACCTTTATAGGTGGAACTTTTCCTTCAAATTTGACGGAGACCAAACGGGTACTATATACTTTCAAACATTTTTTTTCCGAATCGGTTCGTTGGTAAATGACGGAGTTCTGGGGGTAAGAAACATACAGAAGGAAATTATTTTTACTACTTTTTAGTCGGTTAAAAAATAAAATATCAATATTAAATGCAGATTATGAACTAAACATTAGGATCTCATTTAGTTAATGTTAAAAAACTATTATTTTCTTTTACAAGTGTGGTAAACATTCTAAAAATTATTTAAAATTAAAATTATTACACAATATTTACATGTCTAATATTTAATGTTTTTAATTTATATTTTGAATCAGATAAAATAATTTAAGATATATTTCATACTTACTAGTTTTTGGCAAAATTCGACATTGTCTTAAAATATTTAATAAAATAAATATTAAAATCTACGACTATACTGGGGTCATCATAATGCAAAAATGTTAACATGAAAAGACAAAACTGTAGACTAGTTTTTAAATACCTTCAATGTATCTTGTTTTTAGAAGAAAATAGTATAGGCTGTGTTACTCGTTAAAATTGGTATTCTCTGTGTAGGTACTATTTTTTTTTAATGAACTGGTTTTTCGCACCTGTTAGATTTTTTTCAATAACTTGCCACAAAACGATTTTTCCAAAGTATTTTTGTTTAAACCTTTACCCGAATTATCACATTGAAAAACCAGTCAGTTTTTTTTTTTTATCTGAACTTTCTCAGTCTGTACACTAGGGCTAGCTGTCAATTGGTGTAACGTACAGCGCCTACACATTTCATTGGGCAATTTACAAACATACAACATTGCTATTTTTATTCAACAGGCCCTCTATTCTGATGGAATAGGTTTTTACTTTCTTCCTCATGTACTATTACAATTTCTCCAAATATGTGAATTACAATATTCAGTATATAGATATGTGTTTTGTGTTGGATGATTGATAAAGAATATAGAATTTATTAGATCCGTGCACATGCCTTTAAATTGCCTCCCAGTTTATCTGTGACCGCGGGCAGTTCAACCTGCAGTGTTATTCTCTAAATATGACGCTGTGGCAGCTGTACGTGAGGTTTCCTTAGAGAATGGCACTTCTGGTCAAAAAGTCAGGCAATTCAAATACGTAGTTATTTCGTGTGTAAACCTAATTGCATAAAAAAATCTGACACCGCTAAACATGCTTTGAATTGAATTGTTGAATAATTAGATATAGATCCACTAGTTTTATGATATTAGGCTCTTTGGTATAATTTATATTTTTGTGTATCAAATGTATTTTACTATTTCTGTTACAATAAGTTAACAATACAAAAAGGTAAAAATATTATTCAATAATACAGTCCTCCAAAGGGAATTTCAAATTGTGTATATCAATTAAAAGTTATCTTAATTTTACAAAAAAAATATTATTTTTGTGTACTTTAGTTGTTTTACTTTTATAAATTAATTATTGATTTTATTACTTTTGTCTTTATTCATTTTTGCAATATTTAATTGTTCTCTTTTTAATAATAATCTTCAAATAATTTTAGTTTCGGTCTTCTTCTATATCAATCTTAATTCACTCGCATCCTACCATCTAACTTTAATTCTCGACTCCGTAATATCATTCTTCGTTCATTCATTCTTTCTTTAACATAATATGTTGTGATGTTCTTTTTCTTTTTGAATAGCTTTAGTCTTTTGTTCTTTTAAATCATCTTGTTTTCAGTTCCATTTCTTTATTCTTCAATTATTTGCGATTGTCTTACATCTTTTCAACTCGACCCATGTTGTGTACCGCGATCCCTACACATGCTCTACTTTGACCCATACAACACACTTCACATTCCTCCCCCCACAGCGGGTGTTTTCACAAAATATGTTACGAGTGTGCCCTTTCCTTTGACGAAAGTTGGACCTCGGCATTCGCAAGTATATCCAGCGCTCATTAATACTCTGTAAAAAATAGAAATTTATACTTCTTAACAAAAATAAATTCCAAGATATGATAACGTTTGTTCGTGTGGTGACGGATTAAGAATACGGAGTGTGACCACCCCTATTCATACCGTGGGTTTCGTAAGAGCCGACTAAGGGAACAAACTACGCAAGACAACAGCACTGCAAAATGAAGGAAATCTTGACACAAACTCTATATCAACCCGTCTGGCCAGCGTGGTATACTAGGTCAAAACCTCCTTTCTAAGGAGAGGGCTATGTCCAACAGTGGACAACTAAAGGCTGTTGATAATGATGATATGATAACACCGCCATTGTACGGACGACACGTAGGCAGCTCTGAATTAGGATCAGAATCGGAAGAATCTTGAGTTCTTTATTTCAAGAGTTAACATTAAATAGTAATGCATTTTTAGTCCTTAAACGATAAAGTTACCTACCAATTATATTAAGACAATAAGTAATTATAAAAAAATAAAACCCTACTGTGTGAAAATTATATACCTTCTTTAATTTAATTTTGATACCATGTGCCACTCCCACAGTCAAGGCAAATCTGATGACACCTATCAAGCCACGATCTTTCAAATTTTGAGGCTACAGAGTGTACCACAGGAATGTACAAACATACATTTGAAAAACACATAAAGAAAATTTTCAAGAAAAGTTTTGAATTCTTTTATGAATAATAATAATATTTCGAACATCTGACGCACAACGCCATCTAGTTTCAAACTAAGCAATGCTTGTACTATGAAAGCTAGATTCATCATCTGCCTACCCTTATCCCAATTTTATTTGGGGTAACTTGATTGGCTGATAGAATACTTTTATGTTTTTTTTAAGAAAGAAGATGAATCTTGATTTATTGTGAGTGAAGTTCTAACAGTGCGTTGTAGCATTTTAATATCATTCGAGTGGGAAGATATCAGGGGTGACCAGACTAAAAGGAAATAGGTAATTATTCTAAACAGAGTAAGTCAGTCAATTGCGTAATGTTTCATAGTGTGCAATATGATAAAGATACCTAAAATGATCAATAAGATTTGTTGACACTTTTAACTGACACAGAATTAATTATTCAAACTTGCTGTTAAAAACTTGCGAGAAAAAACAGTTCTATTGTCATGTAAAGAGGCGCCATATTTTTAGAAAGCCTCCTCTTAATTAAAATAAAACTATTAAATTTTATAGACCATATTTCAAGTATACAAATAAAACTGCCTCGGTGGTACAGTGGTAGTGTATGCGACTGCTGTGTTCAGGTGTCGGGTTCGATTTCCGGGTCGGAACAAATGTTTGTATGATCTGTTTAAATATTTGTTTCGGAGTGTGGGTGTTTTCTTTATATGATATGTATGTATTTACAAAAAAAAAGCATATAGGTATTCTATAAGTCAATCTAGCTTTCATAGTACCAGCTCTGCTTAGTTTGAAGCTAGATGGCGTTGTGTGTCAGGTGTCCGAAATGTCAAAAATAATTATTTATTTAGTAGCAGCATTTAACAAATAATTATTACGTAAATTGTATTGCAAATTACTTACTTAGCTGTATCTTCAGTGACTTGTATTTTGCCCATGACCCCGGTGGAGTCCATCCTTGAAGCCACATTGACTGTGTTGCCCCATATGTCATATTGTGGTTTCTGTGCACCTACTACACCTGCTATGACTGGGCCGTGGCTCAGTCCTGTAAGATTGAGATGTAGAGATTGAGAGATAATCTGATTGAGCTATTCATACATAATTTAGATTACGAAATTAGTTCTAAGTAAAACAATCTTCAATAGTAAGTTATTTCAATCCGGCTTGAAGGACCAATGTTCATTGCACTTTTTGAATCAATCTGCTCATTTAAGTGAGTGGATTTTAAATTATCCCATTATATTAGATTCTATATTCTGTCTTAGTTAAATCTGTACTGAAAAAAAGTGTTTCAAAAGCCCTTGACGTTCTGCTTTTCAGTGCAACATTATGTTAGGTAAGTAGTTTCTTAAATACATCAATAGTCAATGGTTTTGTCTATTAGGATTATATATGATAAAGCAACATACCTATCCTAAGTTTAAATCTCTGGAAAGATTCCCTGTTGATTTGATCCAACATCGCCATAAGTGCAATAGCAAACTCCACTAATATTGCCACTGAGTGTTCCTCTTTAGTGGCCGTGTCCTGAACAAATGATGAAAACACAACATAAATGTGGCATCAGTCATGTAAATATCAGTATTCCTATTAGAAAATTCGTAACGTATATAATTATTTACTACGTTACTACTAGATATTTATATACGTTACGAATTTACTAACAGGAGTACATAATATGCATAATTTATTAGAGAACACGAAAGGCAGATACTTACATTTTGTTCTTCTTTTCCTGGCCTCAATCCAGACGCAATCATGTAAGTGCTTCCTATTGTCTTTATCTTCTCTATACAGCTAAACTTAGGCTTCAGGAGCAACTGGAAATAGAAGTATTTTTATTAAAATTGTGCACAAAAATAAAACTATCTCAGAAGTCTACAAAAAACAAATGTAGGAGATTTCGAATAAGTTTTCCTCGTATGCTGCTAATAGCCTTAATTGCTATTGCAATTTGGTACTGATGAGAATAGATCAACGTACATACAGCGAGTGAAGGAGAAAGTGGAAGTCAAGAGGTTAAACAGATCTCAGGAAATAGAAAGACGAGGCGATTGTTCCACCGACAAGGCTTGGTCCTTAAATTAAGACAGAGATGAGAATATAAAGGAAAATAATTTCTGTCTAATGAATATCTATTATTACCTTATCGAAATCACAAATTATTTCGTTCAGCAACCGCAGACATTCGAGGCCTTGTTTGTTGACGTCAGTTTCATCATAAAACTCTTTGTAGTTAGGAATAGATGCGAACATTACCGCTATAGTCGAGTATCGTTCGTGGTAAAGCTCGGCCTGAAATTGAAGCATTGTAGGGAACTTGTTTAAGAATTCTGTGACAAAACTACAATCTACCAATCAATGCAAATATCGAAAAAAATTAAAACACGCTTTTTATAGAAAACCAAACTAAAAATGGAAAATAAATTTGAAAAAAAGCGTTGGGTGCCTGTTGTCAATAGTAAAAAGCATCAATTTTTTAATATATATATATATATATATATATATATATATATATATATATATATATATATATATATATATATATATATATATATATATATATGTATATATTTTAATTAGTGCATTGTCATCGGTCCTCGATATATCTACAAAGTTTGAAAGTATTTTGACCGTTTAAAGTCAGTCAAAATCACGCCCAAAGGAGTCGGTTACAAACAAACATACAAGTGAAGCTAATGTAAAGCGTGTAAAAATACAATTAGACTAAATTACCTCGGATGCAACAAAAGTCAAGAAATGTTGGGCCACGTGAGCTGGAAGAATATTTTCCAGAAGAATCTGAAAAAAAAATACGAGTAAAATAAATGACTTAAATAAAAAAAATATATGTCGTTTAATGTAGTTAATAACTGTTCTTTAGATAGAGATACATCATCATCATCATTCATCAACAGCCATTAATAGTCCACTGCAGGACACAGGCCTCTCCTCAAAAATAAGGCTTTGGCCTACTAAACCTCGCTAGCCAGACGGGTGGGTATAGGATTCGTTTCAATTAGTTCTTTTCTTTAAAAAAACAAAAAAAAAATACAATAAAACGTAATCAGACTTTTCTTCTTCGTCTCCCTTGTACTGTCACCTTTTGGTAGAGCGCGTGGTTTAAATCGATTGAAACCACCCGCTCTACCGGCACACCCTCAAGAGACCATGTGTCTGATCGACTCTCCGAATCTCTTGTAATAAATGAGCAACAGTAGCGATAAATTGCAACTCGTGAGCAGCTTCTTTTGCATCACATTTTACACAAACGATGTCAAGGGTTTTCGAATTTGAACACTACCGCAGATGGAGGCAAAACCTGTCAAATTAATCCACCATCACTCTCAAGGCACCACATGCCCTGCCTTGAAAGGTCCGCCGCCGTCACCCGCGGACCCTGCGGTGAATAGATTCTGCGTCGAAAAATTTCTTTCTTAGCCAGCAACAGCCTGGTTCTTCAAGATTGTCCTTACAGGAAAATGAAACACTGCAAAATGCATCTGTCACTACCTACCAAGAAGATCTATCTTCTGCGATGATTGCAATAAGAATCCAGCTCAGTGCCGCCCCAAAAGGAGATATTATTGTTTTATTTTATGGAAGAGTAGCAAGCGATCACACGGGTCACCTGATGGAAAGTGACTACAGCCGCTCATGAAGGTATGCAACTCAGGAGTATAATATTTGAAAAAAAAGTGTCCGAAAATATTTAATTGTGCCAGGTAAGCACCTGAGTCTCTTGGAAAGAAAGGATTGGAAAATTCTAGAGTGTAAGTGGTCGTAGTAAAGTGCTAACCTTATTGATGCCTCTCATAGTTTCCACCTCCTCTTGTTCAAATTTAAGTTTATCCTTCCACAAAAAGTCAGTCCGAGAAGTGAACTCTATCTGTCTGTCCAGGATGTGCAGTAGAGCTGCAAGGAATACCAGGATCAGGCCTGCCTTCGCGGCGTAGGGGAGCATAGTGAACCTGGTAATTAACAAATATTATATGTTACACATGTACAATGTTGTACAATTTTCAATCAAAACGATGTTGTAGTATGTTCAATGATGCCATTGTGTCGATTTGTTAATAAAAAGGATTGGCCATGAGTTTATTTGCCCTTTCTTCTCATTAGGCCCAACCCCTTGGCAACGGGTGGTTGTAGATCGGCACAGGCATGTAAATTAAATCAGAATTGTAAGGACTTGCAATAGGAATAATTTTATTACATTTATTTTGTTCAATATTTGACAAAACAAAGATTGTTGCTATTATGTGACTTGATCTATGACTTTAGAGTCTACATAAAAGACGATTTCAAATATATTTTTTTTTATAAAATAAAGATATTTTGAGTTTGACACAAGACGAAGGATAACATAAAATAATAACTTATATATGAGTACATATACTTGAAACTAAATTTATACAAATCAAAATTAAATTTTAAGCATAAAGTTATGGTCGCTTGTTGTTGTTTTTTTTTTAGGAACTAGGTCTATTTATTAAAGTATTGATACAAATACTTCCGAGTAGCAAACAGAGCATCTTTGAAAGAAAATTGTTAAAGCTTTATAAACATCATTCCGGGAGTTCAAAAAAAATAATTACACATGAATTAGATCTAGTGTAGTTCTGAAACCTGTATACCATATAGCAATAATAATTTAAACAAATCACGTATAGCCTCCTATATGTAATTTCGTTTATTGTAATTTATTTTATTTTATTCCTATTTATTAATTTGCAATTCAGTTTGTATTCAGGTAGAAAGACTTAGAAAAATAATTAATTCGATTGAACCTTACTCATCATCAATTTCCTTCTTCTGGTATTCAGAGAAGAGTTGAGCTGAAGCGAATAGCGAGATGTGGGTCACCAACGTCACGATCATCAGAACTAATTTGAGCACGAAGCCCACTCGCAGGAACACCGAGATAGAAGCTAGCGTCAGTACTGAACTGTACAGGTAACTCTGAAATAGAAGATTAATTGGAATTATTGACTTGACTGAAACGCTAACTGACTGACTGACTGGTGTGACTTTAAAATCAAAGGCTGTTGATGATGACATCAATAATGAATCTCATATTGCAATTAAAATATTAAGCAGAATACTTTGAAAGTATGTTCCAGTTTATCGCATCTAAAACACCACGGGTCATCGGCTCACCAGGGCTCATAGTGAATCAATTGCCAGGGATTTGGACTGTACTCAATAATCTAAAATTGTAAACTACTATGTATCTTTGGCATTATAAAAAGTTTATTAAGTTTTGCTTAAGTATTCAAATATTTAAAAAAAGCACGCATTGTATACTTACAGGAACAATATCAACGTCCACGAAGTACTGGCTGGTAACGTCTACACTATAATTATTCTCCAGGTCTATTAAACTTGTGGTATTGTTAAACTCTACGGAGCCGGTGTATGTCTGGAACTAGAAATTATATGAATGAATAATTTCGCTACAGCTATCCAAAAAACATATATATTTTCAGTTGTGGAAGATCAATCGAGAATTAGAATCTTATGAAAATCATGGAATTAGCATGCCGTGGTTCTTTATATTTTTACCGTCCACAGAAAATAAACTGTTTCAGTGAGCTATCATCGTTTATAAATATAATTTATTTCTTACCAAGTTAATAACTGCACACGAACCTATCAGTATCACCGATACCAAAAACATCGTCAGTCTTATGAACTGGTTACTTGATACCACCTGGAAAATAGATAAAAATTATGTGAATATATTACTCGTATTATAAGCATTGTCCGTGTGGTGACGGATTGAGAATACGGAATGTCACCACCCCTGTTCATCCCGTGGGTGTCGTAAGAGACGACTAAGGGAGCAATCTGCGCAGGACAACAGCACTGCGAAGAGAAGGAAAACTTGACACAAACCCTATACCAACCCGTCTGGCCAGCGTGGTATAGTAGGCCAAACCCTTCTTTCCAAGGAGAGGCTAAGTCCAGCAGTGGACTATTAAAGGCTGTTGATAATTATAAGCATTGACAAATTAGCTTTATTTATACAACATAAACTGCTAGTTGACGGGAATAACCAAACAATAAAAAGCTGTTGATTTTAGAGAATTTCTATCTTTAACGAACCTTTGTATGAAATGAGAGTTGAATCTCTGTTAACAACAGAACATTAGTAAATTATGATCGGTTACCATACTTAGTTTACAGGATTATTAATTATATTGATATTCTTGAAAAATATCAAAATATTTCATTTAAAACAACCGTTGAGGTATATCAACTTAGATATCCCAGAAACATCATCGCCCCTATCTCGGCCATGCAATTTTACCAGCGAATAGTCTTGCCACTTAATCCATGACTTCCCGTGGTATGGGAGCAGGTCAACTATGCCAGGAATTACCAGTTCTTCAAGTAATATTGCCTACCATAAAAATTCAAGTTGTTAGGAACAAGAGTTATAATAGATAATTTGAAGCTAATTTCACATCTTAATCTGATAGCTATAGAGGGTACACTAACCTGACCAGGTTTCGTACAATTATCAGCATACAAGTCATCAGTGAGTGTTGGAACATCAGATATCGGATGTAACTCTCTCGCCAGCGTGGTACCATCGTACCAAGACAAGTACACGAAGACCAGGAGGGTAAAGAACGTGGGCCCAAAAGAGGCATACAGTACGATACTCCTGGAAAATTATATAAGTATATTAAGATATTTATTTATATTATGACTATTGCGGGAATCCGTGTGGTGACGGATTAAGAATAAGGAATGTCACCACCCCTGTTCATCCCGTGGGTGTCGTAAGAGACGACTAAGGGAGCAATCTGCGCAGGACAACAGCACTGCAAAGAGAAGGAAAACTTGACACAAACCCTATACCAACCAGTCTGGCCAGCGTGGTATAGAAGGCCGAAACAAACAAACGAATAAATATTATTATAAATAACTTTCCTAAATCGAATGATAAGTACTGAGTAGTGTCTCATTTTACTCTCTCTTTTAGTATTTATTCTACTAGCTTTGTTCATAAATCTTCTGAACTACGTTGTATTCGTATGTGTGTCGTACGTTGAGCTCATTTAATATCCGTACAGTTTACACACACTGAAAAGTGTAATTTGATGGCAATATCGAAACCTCGTCCTTTTTAAATGTATTCAACATCCTAATATGGTAATAAGTTTACTCGAGAACTGACGCCGAATTACTTAATTTGGACTGTAGTTTACATGTTTATGGAAAGTAACAGTTCAAAGGTTGCATATATTTTCAAAACTTTAAATCTGCTCTTTTTTTAACTATATGATGTGTGGTGACGAATTAAGAATATGGAATGTCACCACCCCTATTCATCCCGTGGGTGTCGTAAGAGGCGACTAAGGGAACAAACTACGCAGGACAACAGCGCTGCAAAGAGAAGGAAAACTTGAAACAAACCCTATACCAATCTGTCTGGATAGCGTGGTATAGTAGGCCAAACCCTCCTTTCTAAGGAGAGGCCTATGTCCAGTAGTGGACTAGTAATGGCTGCTGATGCTATAACTACACTAAATGTGCTAAAACTACAGACCTTCAGTATACATTTAGGGCCGGTATGATACAAAAGTCTATAACAATAATAGTTCAAGTTATACTGGTCACTGAAATAAAATGAGACATTCAAATCGGTTGAATTCGACCGCCACGCCAACTCTTGTATAAGTGAATATTTTGTATGTGCATGTTGTATGAAGTTATGAACTTACTTGGGGACAGTGAGCAGTTGAATGAATGCAATCAAAGCGAAGAGGAGAGCTGCGCAGGCGACGTTGTACTTAAACTGCCCGTCGGACTGATTGCGGTACTGCCGCTCCTGGGTACTTCTCTTGAACCACAGCGTGACGCGGTTCATTCCCTCTGAGTTTGTGCTGGAGTAGTATAGAGGTTTCAAATTAGCGCAGTGAATACAAGTACCAACAAATGGGGACAAAATATGAATTTTACCCAAGGGTATCAGATATTAGAGAGGAGGATATTGGAAAAATAAATCAGATTTTTTAGTGATATTCGATTATAGTGTTAGTACTTGTTGTATGTATGGATCTGCTTCGGGAGATTTCTGCATCTCTGGGCTAGATTGCTTCGAGGTCGAATATTTTGCTCTAAGAAAGTAGTAACAAGATGATTAAATACCTGCAATCACAGCAAGTTGTCCGTTGTGGCAGGAGATTCTCTTCAATCATTGCTAAACTCTGAAAAGGTAACAATTATATTCTTTAAACAGACATATACACATGATAATACTCACTGACATTGTTAGGAATGTACTCGTATATAATACGATATTTTTTTCTTGTTAGTAATACAATAAACTAAAAAATAACAAAAAAAAATTCAAGGCATCTTTAAAGTTTTACAACCTAAAGGCATAGTTAGTTGTTTTCAACGATCTGTGTATTTTCGTGTTATGTAACAGAGTCACGATTAGTTAACGATGTGAACGAAAATTCAAGCCAACCAAGCTCAGGACATGTCAGAACATTAATAGAACACTGCTAAAATCTATAATTAAAGATTTACCGAAATTCCTATATTCTTGGCAAGAGTTGAATCAGTGATGTTGGCAAATGGTTTGTCTGCGCCCCAACACTCCACGTACTTTGTCATCTTACTGGAGGGACGAGACCGCGTTGGTACTCCAGGAGTAGCTGCGATACATTTCAAAGATGTAATCAAGGTGATGAATCAATTACGAGTATCTCGCTATAAATAAATCACTATATTACTAATATCAGGCATTAGTTTGATGATATTACACTTTAAAAACAGAGAGTATTTCAACAAAATGTATACATTTGATTTAGGTCTGAGAATATTTTAACGTCAAATGACGAAAATAAAGATAAAAAAAATTGTGCACAAGTAATTTGTTTTGAAACAGGATGTTGACAGAATCTCATACATGTGGGTAATGGGAAAACCTGAATAACACTTATTGAGAAAAATGTTAACGAGACAATGAATTGACTGTTTTGTTAATATGTAAAATTCTGGATTAATCACAAAACTGTTCATATATTGCATATGAAATTACGGGACTAACATAAAGATTCAACGGAAATTGTACTTAACATCCGAAAGAATAAAGTCGGTTGTGGAGTTTCAGGTGGACTTGATTGATCGCTATGGTCACTATTATCTCCTGAATTAAACATTTAAAATAATATTAATGTCTGATGTAGTTAAACTGAATGTCACCTTGAGTATAATTTGTAATTTTGTATACAAATTTGACAAAAAAAGACATATTTCAAGAATACAATTTTATTCGTTATTGCTTTTCCTGCGGCTCGGTTCTCATTATATAGATATTGTTAATCTCTTCAGATATCCTTTAAATCAGTGTTATTTGAATTAAAGATACCGTATCTCTTTTTCTGAGTTTTTTTTCTGTGCGGAATACCCCTCGGATACCACACAGCATTATGTATGTCGGACTCGAACCAACTAAAACCCCAAACGCAAACTATCATAATTAATAAAATAACCAAATCAAATTAGTATTTATAACATTAGTTAGGATACAATTATCACTAAATATGTACCTGTTCCCATAATAGGGCTGATGGCTCCAATGATAGACCCACTACGACTCTTGGGCTTGACAGGGATGACAGTGCCGTTTCCGAGCCCTTCTCCAGGACTAGTGGCTTGTGTGCTGTCAAATGCTACTTGTTTAGGTCCGTCTCGCATGGAAGCCCGTCTGCTCAGATCTGAATAATAAGAGTATTATTTTTCATTGTGCGCTTTTCAAGAAAGCTTTTGAATCACACAAACGTTTTCCTCTGACTGGTATCAAATTTAAGCTAAATTAAGGTGAATACCGTTAATCTGACACTTTTGTACATCTGCATTTACCTGTGTTTTACGAAATAAATAATAGACTGGTTGATTTTTTTTATCAATGTGTTGTAAATTTACACCAAACCATCTCTGTAATTTAAAGTTTTCTTTAGTGAAACTCCTGCCACTACGCTGTCTAAACACGTTTATTGTATAACACAAGATAGTATTTACCTCCGGTGGTAGTTCTCATTGACTCAGTTCTCAAGACCCTGTTTGGGAAAGAGTCTGCCTCGTTGAAGCTGTGCTGTGAGGGTGCTGGACTTATGTTGCCCCTTGTTTTTGTTGGAGAGATGTCCTGGTACAGCGAGGATACAACAGAGGCCTTCCTGTCTACTGTACACACGGAAAGACGACCGTTTTCGGAAGGTTTCTGAAAAAAACATACCGACATTTAGTTATGTTATTTTAACTTTAAAAAAGACAACTCTCGCAGTAGGACTATCTGCTGCGTCGCGGGGAACTTTGCACAAAATTTATAAAACGGGCACAAAGTTCACACAAAGTTTTGTCCATGTGAGGTTTGAAGTTCGACACCACTCAGTTCAGTGTGATTTTTTTTTTACACTTGATACAAGTATACAAAGTGATATTGACCTGCAAAGAAGGACTTCTAATTTTATTATCATTTATATATTTTTTTGTAAAAGGTGACTAAAACTGTGGGGTATTAAGGCTATTTTTCTTTGTCTTTTTCTCCCAATGGTAAGTGACTACGCAGCCCATGGACACCTACAACTCGAGAGTCCCCCCTACATAAACAGAGTTTGGGCTCTGGTAACCTCACTCACTCAGTGAAATGTAGAGCTTAACACCAGTTAGTGAGGTAGTTCACAGCTCTCCCACGACAAAAACTGCTGTGTGATCTGAATTAAGCTTTATTGTGATATTGGCGTGCTCAGGTTACTCATGTGAGTCAGAAAGTAACAGGAAACCTGCGAACGTTACACCGTCTTAAGAATTTTTTGCCACCTAAAACGAAAATGTCACTCATGCAGTCCCTAATATCCCTTTAATTGATTATGGCGATGTATGTTACTTCGACCTGAATGCAGATCTCCTTAACAAGCTAGACCGTCTTCTCAATAACTGCATTCGATATATATTTAATCTTCGAAAGTATAACCACGTCTCTGCTTTTCGTTCCCAATTGCAATGGTTGCCCGTTCGCCTGGGCCGTAATCAGCGAGCGCTGACCTCTCTCTTTTCATTCTTCAACTCCCCATTCTCATCCACTTACCTTGATCCCTATCTGCGTTTCCTGTCCACTAATCACGATAGAAATCTTCGCTCAACAAATAATTTGCTTCTCCTTCGCTTCTCCCTTGTTTGCGTCCCACAATTCCGAGTTTGTGAACTCTTCATTCCTTGTGCAAGCAGTACAACTTTGGAATGCGCTTCCACTTGAGATCAGGATGTCCACAAACCGTTTCACATTTAAAACGAATGTACGTAACTAACTTCTTCAGCTGGCGGAATTACCTACTCAATAGTACGCCTCTACATATATTTACAGTGTACGAATATAAAGTATATGCATTTTATGTGTATTTATCTATATATGTATATGCGTGTATGTGTGTAATTGTATATGTTAATTATAATTACCATTACATTATAACCATAGCAACTGCAACCTCAATGCACCTACCTCACCAGATTTCTACACCCCCCAAAGGTTGGCTGGTAGGGAATGCCTTGGGCATTAAGCCCGCCGTTGTACATAAATGCATAAAGTTGTGTATAAATAAATAAATAAAGCCCGAGTTCCCATTTCTTTAAACGATTTTTGAATTTCTTTTGAAGTTGAATTTCTGCACTACTGCGTTTTTCATGAAACATTAATCAGGAAATTGCATTACTATGGAATTAGGAACACTGCTTTGGATCTTCTTATCTCTTATTTGGGTAATAGGATCCAGAGAGTGCAAGTTAATAGACAGAGATCCCTGGGGTCTCTGGTCACTATGGGGGTTCCGCAGGGCTCAATTCTCGGCCCATTTTTATTTCTTGTTTACATAAATGACCTACCTAATGTGATAAATGATAATCAGGAGATAGTACTATTTGCGGATGACACTTCACTTTTATTCAAACTTAAACAACAGCAATCAGTAACTGATGACGTGAATAGCACTCTCTCTAAGGTTGTGAACTGGTTTAATGTTAATAATTTACTTTTAAACGAGAATAAAAGGAAATGTATTAGATTTTTTACACCTAATCTTACGCAGGTAAAGACCAATGTTCTAATAAATGGAAAGGAGTTGGATCTTGTGGACACCACCAAGTTTTTAGGTAAAACACTAGACTCTAAATTGCAATATGGCCTACACATTGAGGGATTGTCGAATAGACTCAGCTCTGCAGCATACGCGGTTAATAAAATTCGTCAATTAACCGATGTAGAAACAGCTAGACTGCTGTATTTTAGCTATTTTCATAGTGTAATGTCATACGGTATTTTGTTGTGGGGAAATGCTGCTGACATTCAAAGTATCTTTGTGTTGCAAAAGAGAGCTATTCGTGCAATTTATAATCTCAGTTATAGGCAGTCACTGAGGGATAAGTTTAAAGAAATTGGTACCATGACAGTCGTATCTCAATACATATATGAAAATTTAGTGTATGTAAAGAAAAATAATCATTTATTCACAAAGTTTAGCGACATTTATAAAATAAACACTAGAAATAAAGATAAACTCGTGTTACCAACCACTGGACTACAAAAAGTAAGCAAGTCTTTTCGTTGTCAGGGTGTGCGATTTTGCAATAAAGTGCCAAGCAAATTCCATGAATTTAAGTCTTTAGTAAAGCTAAAACTGTGTGAAAAGGCTTACAACACTATTACAGATTATTTAGACGACAAATTTGCTTGGGATTGATGCTGCTCACTCCCACATTTACGTAGACATCTTTGTTGTTAAGTTTGAAAGTGATGGACATTTAATTTGAATTGTATAGTATTTTTTTATTGTTTGTGTAAGTATGTAAATGTGAGTATAGTGTGGGCTTGTAATGTTAATTCATATTTTATTATCTTTCTGGTGGTTTTGAGTGTTTCCACGGCCTACCCAAATGTCCTGCTGGCGGTAGTGTTATGCTTCGGGTCGTTGATCTTGACCAATATCGGTTAGGCTACACGATAGCTGGAGCCTGTATGCCGTCTGTATGGACAGGCTGACTCAAAACTATGGTCCTTTCCTAAAAAAGGCCTATCCAGACCCTATACTGTACTCGCACAGTTTTACTTACATAGTTTACGGACTTAAAAAAAAAAAGACACCTCTGTGGTTTGTTTTGGCGTTTCTTCCCAGAGTGAGTCTTAGGAAATGCCGGCTCCTTCTAGCTATAAAGTCCGACTTGTAAAAATATCTGAAAAGATTTACTTAAGATTTACTTACAGAAATAAATATCATTTATCATCATTTATCATGCACTAATACTGTGATATGCATGATATGTATGTTTTTACAAAGAAAAAAAAACATAAATGTATTTATATCAGTTGTCTAGTACCCATAGTACAAGCTCTGCTTAGTTTGGGACTAGATGGCGTTGCGTGAATGAGGTAGAATATTATTATTATCATATAATTTAGGGTTTGCTTTAAAAAATAATCAATGGCAAGGTAGTTTAGTATACGTTGGTGAATGTCCTCCGTCCTCCATAAGCGCAGGCCTGGTGGTGACAGGTGAGGCTATCTGTCACCCTAACAGAAGCATTCTTGGGTAGAGGTGCGACGCGGTTTGCATTTCTAAATTACACCTGCTTTCTCAGGTTCCTCAGACGGCGTTTGGTATTTAGTCGGTTCGAGTCCAACATAACCACCTTACCGATCGTCCGGTGGGTGATATCCGAGGGAATTTCTGAACGAAAAAAAGGTGGTTTAGTACGTAATTTGAAGTGACTAACGGAAAACTACTAGACAGAACTACTAACGAGAAAACATACTGACTTTCTAATCTTAGTTAAACCTGGACAGAGTAATTGGAAACATCCGAAGCACTAAACCCGATAAAATCACGACACTCATCAAGTAAGATACAGATTAGAATCAAGAAAATACCTCGAGTTAGGTTAGGAGTGAGCAAGTTAATTTGTAATTAAAACATATTATTGACTCTCACTCATCAGTGAATACGTTTTTTTTTTGCTGGCAAATTATACAATATTTCGTTTTGCATCTAATGTTTTAACGTACTTATATATTCTGTTAAAATTGAACGGCCCAGGATAAGGGGGTTTAGATTGAGCCTTCGGTAACCTAACTCACTTGGTGTAAAGCATCGGAATAATTGCCTAACACCGGTTTTCTACGAGGACGTGGTATAAATCCGTATGACCTGGTTAATATGTCTCAAGATTAGTATGCTTCTATAGTTTAGATATTCTTCATGAGAATTCTTATGGAAATATGACTGCGAACCAAGAAAACACAAACAAGGTTAGGCCTTTAATGCATAAATGCAGTCTTAGTAAATGTGCACTTAGCATCCCTGATTAAATCACACCCCACTACTGCATACTCAACCGTCAAGTTCAATCGATTATCCTGGGGTACAGTAATGGCACCGCTAATAGTATCACAAAATTAAAGCATGCAATCCATTTCTAGAAGCAATTAGGATATTTTCAATTAAAATTCAGGCATCTTGTCATATCAATTTTCATGGATATGACAAGATGTCTGAATTTTTTTATTTTTTTTTGTAATTGCAATATATGCAGATACACGACTCTCTATTTTTTAACGCAATTAGCGATCATCACATGAAGCAAAAATAAACTCAAAAATACCGGAGTTTCTATTCCTTTTTCTGGATATAATCATATAAGTAACATTTTAATTCTATACTTACCAAATGTCATAAACTTTACTTATGTAATAAATGTTCTTGGTTAAAAAAAAACTCACCACTATTTGCAGTGAGAACTAAGTATTTATAGAAGAGCTTCGTTGCAAAACTTGCATTTTTACGTGTTATGTTTCTGGTGGGGTATATATACCTCCCACTTTGAGAAACTGCTTTTAAATGTAAATTCATGATAATTAAATATACAGAGTGTAAGGGACCTCGTAACGAATACTGAAATAGTGGATTCAGACTATTCGAAAATCACTGAAATTTTCTGCCGGGAAAATAAACTTTTAATGCAATCAGGTGTCAAAAGTTAAGGTCACTCCCGTCAGTAATAACTACATTAGTATTCCGTCTACGCACACCAACACAAGTTGGCGACTAGAGGGAGGCTCCGCGCGCTTCGACCGTTTTATTGACATTGCAGTTTTTAACCGTATGGGATATTTATTAAATTGTTTTCGGTAATAGTTCTGTTTACACGTTCTGATATCATTTTCCGTAATTTTTA